GATTGGGCGGTAGTTAGAGGATAGTGATCTATCCCCTTCTTGAAAATCGGTATTACATTCGCTATCCTCCAGGATTCTGGTATCTACCTGTTTTTAAGGACATGTTAAACAACTTTGCTAAGGGCATACTAAGCTCTTCCTTACATTCCTTTAATACTCTGGCAAATATCTCATCGGGACCAGGTGACTTATTAGGCTTTAATTTGTCTATTTGCTTACTAACATCATTACTAGTCACTAGTATCTCCTTAATTTGTTTTCTTCACTATCTCTGAATAGAGTCGGTGCCTCGGGTATCATGTTTAAATTTTCGGTGGTGAAAACTGTTGAAAAATATTTATTCAAATTATTGCTCATTTCTCCGTCGTTATCAGTGAGCTGCTTGAGTCTGACCATTAGTCCAATCTTTTCTCGTGTTTTAGTTTGATACATTGGTAGAATCCTTTGGGGTTTTGTCTTCGCCTCCCTTGCTATCCTTACCTCATTATTCTCTTTGCTTTCCTTATCTCGGTTTAACCCTACTCGCCAATACCCTATAATAGTCCCGGAGGTGAATTTCGCCACGATTTATCCTTCTACCTATAGCCTTCCTTTGGCCAGGCCAGGTAACAGAATAGACGGCTGCCGTCCGCAAAAGCAGTTTTGGGGCGTCAGCGGATCGAAGGTATACTCAGTACGCATCCTTACAGTCCAGAACTCTGAATATAGTAGCTCCGTTCAATTGGTCCAGTGTCTCATATATTCTGGGCAAGGATAGCTATCAGCAATGGTGTCCTTAATGTTCCCTATAGTCCACAAGAATCTAGTTGACCCATCCTTTCTGACTAATACAACCGGGGCAATAGGGGCTGGTGCAAGAGATGACGCCACGCTCTTCCATTTGGCGGCATAGTCCCTGATTTGAGTTTAGCCGCCTCAGGAAGCCGCCCTGCCGTACTCTGGTGGGCTGGAGCGGAGCCGGTATTAAGTGTGAAGCTGACATCAGGATAAGGTCCTGATCTGAAGTTGCAAACAGGTCTTTATGCTGCGTTATTATAGAGGACGAGCGTTCTCTTATTGTGTGTAGGTGATTTATGTCAAGGGACCCAAATGCAGCGACAACATTTGCTGTGAATCTACGAACTCCGTGTCGCTCCTAATATTATATCTCGTAGAATCAAAATGTTCAAATCCTCTACCTTATCTACCGCACAGACTGTTCCCACTGAATGACCAGAGTAAGTTTAAATCCTTGGGCGAGTTTATGACTGGGACGCTAGGCTTCTGAGTGTTAATGAGTTCTGGCTGCAAGTATGGGGACATTTTATGAGGAGTTTCAACAAATACATACTCCTGATTGTCCGTGGGACTGTCGACGACCTTGACCATCTAATGGGCAAAACAACACTAGAGTGGGGAGGGATGACAGTAACACGTAGGGTGTAAGGGGCCTGGGGCGCGGGGGCTGGGGGCGTTTAGGCTTAATAGAGGTGCACGGGCAGACCAGACCTGTTCCTGATAGGTGCCTCCATAATCCCTACCATCTAGTGTCACGATATACCGGCTCCCATCAAACTGGATTCCATACTTAAACCTACACAAGAAATCTGACAATAGAACATCCTGAGAAAGATCACGGCTTACACAAACCAGCTCGTGAACAACCATCTTATCTCCTAATACTACAGTTTATCTCTGGAATCCAATGTTGAGAGGAGGTTACCGTGACACCACGTAACTCAGGAGCTCTATGCCTCCCTAATTTCATCTTGGGGCCCGTTCTGTCTCACTAAGGACACAGAGGCCTGTATCAATAAAAGCTTCAACCCGTTTTCCTCCCATTTTCAACAACCTTTTAAGTCCTCACAATTTTTCCTGGCACAAGGTTTTAAACGGTTTTAGTAAATTGGGGTGCAAAATCAAATATGATTTGGTTTTTGTCTATCGCATCAGGTTTTGAGATATACCATATTGCACTTTTGCTGGAAACGTAAACTTTTGGGTCAATTGACGGTTTAAACATGTATACATAAATTTTTTCAGCATTATAATTTGTATTTTCTATAACCAAAAATTTTAATATCAAATTGGAAGTTAATGCACATATATTATTTAAATGTAACATTGAAGGGTGAAAAAACAATTAATGTACGGTAGAAATAGTGCAAGTATTAAGATCAAGTTACAGTTACATAAACTTCCTCTTTTGGCCGATCTCTTATGTACAGCTTCTGAATGTCTCTCATCAAACTCAGCAGTAGTCCGCCATCATGTTCCAGTCCCATCGACCTTGGTAACGTTCTTCCATTACTTTAATGTCTTGATAAAGCCTTCCTCTGCTCCCCGCTCACTTCTCCAGATTTTCTGGAAACTCGTCCAAGTGACTGTGTAAGTAGTGAACCTTGATACTCATTCTGCATCCAAGTGCTTGCCAAACTCAAAACAGCTCTTCCACAATTTCTTGATAGTTGTCCGCTTTCTTGTTCAGAAGTTCCGCACCACATTAGAAAGCATTCCAAGTTCTTGCCTGTGCCTCAGTCATTGTTGAGAGTGTGGATCTCTGAGTAGTGTTCTTATTTGAGGTCCATCATCCCTGCCTTTTTTCTTCTCGTCGCTAAGACTTGGAAAGGTTGAGCATATATATCTGAAACTCTCACTATGATCAAGAGCCTTGACGAATTGCTTCATGATACCAAGTTTTATGTGCAGAGGAGGAAGGACAATGTTTTCCTGTCAACCGGAGGATCGGTAATGATATTCTTGTCACCAGGCGTCAAACTATGTCTTGGTGGCCAATTCTTTTCACCCAATGGTCTGCTGTAGCCCTGTTGTCCCAGTAGCACAAGAACAGGGTATTTTTTTAACTCCCTGCTGGCCCAATAGAAAGTTTACCATTTTCAAGTCTACACAAATTAACCATTCATGAGCATGGTATTGCAACCTCTCTAGAACAGTCTTAATGTTTTCATACTCTTCTTTAATTTGTACTAGAATGTCCGATTGGAATTGAACCGTACTTGTTTCCGTTAAGAAGAAGAACATATTTCAAGCTCCTTTTAGAACTGTCAATAAAAAGTCTCAATCCTTACTATCATATTAGGGTGTGTGTAGTGTTAACAGAAGTCATATTAGCTTGCGAGGAGGGCTGGGAAGTACTGATCGTGGAAGTTGAAACTGTCAATGTTGACGATGACGTCGGTGGGTGGTTTACTGACACTTGCCCTGGTTGAGTTCTCGACCATTGTTCCCAGGTACCCAACAATATGTGAACCAGAAAGCGGGGAGGGGGGGGGATAATTTTCACTAGGGAATGACCACTTGTACCACACTGAGGGACAGGAATTATATTACGTATGCTACCACCCTTGTACTGCCTGCTTCATCAAGATAGTTGCGAGTTTACTTCAAAAGATTCTAACCAACACTGTACAGAATAATAAGGGGGAGGGAGAGGCGTGAGTTTTACGTTAAGTGCGCTGCCACAATTGTAATGAGACAAAACTCGCCAGAAGAGGATATTACATATAAGTAGAATATTTATAGGAGGATGTAAAGACAGGAAGTTTGGTAGTGTGTCTCGAGGGTGTGGGGGGTGACTACGTATATTAACACAGGCTCAGTACAAGTGTAGAATATAAAACACAAATGCGTGTTACAGCTTTACTTTACTAGTTGCATAGGGGGAATTAATGGGGACACAGGGTATGAAAGACTACGATATGTTCGTTTAACTTCACAAGTCAAATGGGCACTTCACTAAGTCGATCGTTGGGAGGTCCGGGATCACTGCACTTCTACCGCCTACACAGCCAGCACTTACTGTTATACGTTGAATTGACAGCACTCTGTCGATGGACCCGGCTGAGACCTCGTTGCCTTTAGTGACGGACTTCTTTGATGAGCGGGACAGGGGACGTGGTTGCTGGCCCTCCTTGGTTATCAGACTCTGGTGGTGAGAGGAGCTCCAGCCCCTATATATTGGAGGAGCCGGAGGGTGACCTCTCCTACTTAAGTGGGTGTGTCTTGACCGGGTTGTTGGGTTGGGTAACGGGTGCTGGCGATTAGCGGGTCCTTGATCTCCCTTGGGTCAGGTCTGGACAGTTGTTTGCCCAGGTGAGGTCATGACGCAAGACAGTAGTGCTTTGTAATTATTACCGCCCGGGTGGGTCTCGGCCAGGTGTGGTTTCCTTAACATGGTTATATCTTAGGGTTACGCAAGTACTTAGGCCGGGGTCAGGTCTTGACCTGCGGTGTGTCAACCTGTGGTGTTGGGGTACCACGCGGTCTGTACTGTACTTGCTGTTATATGTGATGTAATTCATTACATTCTTATGGAAGGTAATTCGTTAACCGACGCGTTCGTTAACTGAGGGATCACTGTACAGGTAATCCGCGTTTAATGTCGTCCCGCTTAACATTGTTTTGGTACTACTTCGCTAAACTTTAGAGACCAAAAATTCGTTTAACCAGTGATCCGATACTACGTCGTTTTGCGTCGTCACTGACTACTTCCTATGGTGTATCACCCTCTCGTCTGGCCCCGCTAGGCTCTCTCGGCTCTGCGCAGTCTCAGTGACTCACCACCCTCCTTTTTATATTTTCTTTTTTATACTTAAAGTTGGGTGCCCCCAAAATGTTATTGTCCTGAAAATGTGGGGGGCTCTGTTTGGCCACACACTCTGAATGCTCCCAAATCTGACACTCGGTATGATTATGTTCAGAAGCACAGTTCTACAAGTCATTTCCCTCTTCATTCACAACAAATTTACTTCAATATATCAAACAAGCATTCTTCTTTCTGTCTCCTTTCCTCACTTACTTTTATTCTTAACTTTCTCCCACTACTGAATGTTTTTTTCTAGACTCATTCCCTAACACTTGTGACTTTTCTTTTGAATTAGTCACTGAAGCAATGCCATTAGCAGCTGCTGTCTCACTTCTCATTAGCATTCCATATCATTATTAAGTGAATTTACACCTCTCCATTATCATTGCTTTCAATATGGGTGAAGAAAAAAATATTTTACAAATATCTTGCATTTTTTATTCAAGTAAGACTAAATCCTACTTAACCACCAAAAAGAGCAATGAAACATACAAACTTTGTCTCACATATCCTCTTATTAAAATTTTTTTGACAAATTTAGTTCTTGATATACAGGGTGTAACTAAAGTCTGGAATCATATACTTACGTAACTAATTTGGTATTTTTGTTCTTTTTCAGGATATAGGCCATGATGACTGATTACACCTTACAAGAATGAGCTGAATTGGTCCTCTTACATACAGGAGGCCTAAGCCAGAGGAACTCTGGAAGAATTTCACCTGCGACATCCAACAACAAGCATGCCTCAACAAGGAACGGTGTCAAAGCTCGTGAAACAATTTTGTGAAACTGAAAGTATAGCAGATAGGAAGAGGAGCAGTCATCCACGCACATGTACGGATCAAGATCATACTGCAACTGGAAAACATATGTTGCAATGTTGAATGTAATCGTGCAGCCTAATTTAGACGATATGCCACTTGCAATGCGTCAACGTTTATGGTTTCAGCAGGATGGGGCTCCTGCGCACTTTCCTTTTATAAAACATACTGTAGGTGGTTAGATTCCAAGATACCAGGAAAATAGACAAGTCAATGTGCACCAGTAGAATGGCCCCCCAAATCACCAGACCGGATTCCTTTAGATTTTTTCTTAGGGGGCCATTCGAAATCAATTGTGTACACCGACCGTCCACGAAAAATTGAGGCACTGAAAAAACGTATTCAAGTGGAATGTAACAAAATCAGTATGGATACACTGCATGCTGTCACTGAAAGTATAAAACAGTTGTTTATAATTGCTTGACACTCCATGGACTATAATTTCAACCTTTAATAAAATAAATCTATGATTCCGGACTTTTGTTACACGCTGTGGCCTGTATATTGTGGTTTATTAACCGTTTGTTAAATACTCTAATGAAATACTGTACGTTAACCAATTATCCTATTTTTCATCTCACTTACAGTACACCACTGATCTTCAAGTAAACACAGGCAACACTTATCTGTGAGACCATACTAGTTTACATATATTATAAAACTAGTATAAACATAAAATAACATGAAAATTAAGCAGTATCCATTTCTTCCACTGCAACTTTTTTGATTGTCTCAGATACAATCTGAACAGGACGAACTGTTGTAGTTAGGATTTCTGTTGTCCCGCGCTTGTACTCATACTTCCCCTGCCTGTGAAAAAGAATGAAGACTATTATATTGACATAATACAAACCAACTTGAAATTAAGCCTATTTTCACCTCAAATTCTCAAACTTAGCACTGTATATTAAGGTCACCCACCACACAATCCATGCAAAACTCATCTCCAAAGTGAAATATTTCCCAAACTTCAGAGTACAGTATTGTACTTTTCATAATATTGCAACATTCTTTCTTTAATCGGCAAATGGGTAGTAAACAGTTGCTTTTGTTATAAAGTAGAAGTCCAAAAATCCGGACTGCTTGGGGATTGGGTAGGTCCGGATTTTCGGATTCTCAGGCAGTACTTTTAAAATAAAAATTTAAGGAGGAATAAGAAGAGATGAACAGGTACATTTTGATAGTTTATTCATTAGCAAATAAAGCATGCTTCATTTATCAAAACGAGCAGTTTTAAAGAAGTATAAAGTCAACACTAGACAAAAATGTAAACTTATTGTCTAATACCATGACGAGTCTTGAAATTCCTAAGCCATCCATCACTAAATGCGCACTCTGATTCAATGTTCATTTGCTCCTTAAAAGACTTTGCTTTGGCAATAAGTATCGGCCCAGAAATTGCCATACCTTCTGATCATTTTAACAAAAACCATTCATGCAACACTTTATCAAGATTTTCTAATTTGGGCCAGTGTAAACTTTTTCTTTCAGCAATTTTAATGTAAGGCTCAGAAGCTGTGAATTCTAGAATTTTATTCTTTGCCTTTTTTATATCATAAATTGTAGACTTTCCAATGTCGTATGTTTCCATTAGAACAGCATTGCTCTCACCACGTTCTAGTTTCTTAATTATTTCAAGTTTGTCTCTCAATTTCAATGTGTTCTTCTTTCTCTTCACACATTGAAGTTTATCTACTTTAGGGGCCATTATTATGGGCCTGTACTCTGTACATGGAAAGAGTAGGACTCAAAATTACATACGTTGTCACAGTTTGATTGCTTGTTTTAAAGTGGCGATCGCGCGGTCGTTTGTTGTCGCTGTGCAGCTGTGGCATTCAAGCATGCACACCTACACAAAAGATTTATAGTGCCTCAAATTTTACATTTCAGTTCAAGCTAATTACAAAACTAACAAAATTAGCTACCTGTAATTTACAATTAGTACTTATATTATTAGAATTATGTAAATTAATTTTTTAAAGCAACTCCATTCATTCACGTAACCCACAAAAGACCGCTAAATTTAAAAAGTTTGAGTTTTCGAAAAGTCCGGATTCTCGGGTGGTCTGGATTCCTGGCATCTGGATTTTTGGACTTTTACTGTAGTATTAATAAAGCACAGAGTAGACTTGAGGGTAGACTGTCACATTTTTAATACAGTATATTTGTTTCTGATTATTTGTGAGAGGATTTTCCCATTATTATTTGTTTGTATGTGTTTTTCGTGTGTGTCATACTCGATTAGAAGAAGAAGAAGAAGAATCATTGATGGTCCATTACGACAGAACGACAGCACGGCCAAAGTGATAAGTTGCAGCAACTGATGCTGCAAGTACCAGAGAATTTGAAAAAAAGTAGCTATAGCACAGGAGGTGGGTGCCTCGAACAGGTTAACTAAGTTACTGATAAGGGCAAATGGAGGAAACTGCAGCAGGCCTATTGGCCCATACTGGGCAGTCCCATTTACACCCAACCCCTATTGCTAATATATCCATCCGAATTGAAGATCCTTATGGGAGCTAAAACTCCCAAGAGTTTTAAGCCCATATTATCAAACAACATCTTCCCTTGAAGAGGGTCGTCGTGTTTCAACCAGAGTTTTAAACTAAATGAGTTCTGAGGGACACCGCAATACTGTACAGTACTGAACAGGGTGGTGTGGCGGTAAAATTAACTAATTCCAATAAAATTAATTTATAATATAGGAATTAATTAATTTTACCGCCACACCACCCCGTTAAATACATTGTACTGCGGTGTCCCTGAGGACTCATTAGTTTAAAACTCGGGGAGAAACACGACGACCCTCTTCAAAGGAAGATGTTATTTAATAATACGGGCGCCAAACTGTTTACTCCTAAAAAGAATGCAATGGAAATCTGAGGTGAAAGTCTAAAAGCCAAAATGTCATAAAACAAGAAAAGAAAATACAAAAGACTTCCTCACCTCTGACCCTTCACATTGGCAACATCATAAGGCCGGAGCATTGTTGCCCCATCTTTTGTGATAACACACAAATCTATGTTGGAACCAGAGCCCAGATCGTTGAATACACCACCAGCTATCCCGTCACGTACCAGTTGCTTTGCCTCATCCAACTGCAAAGAAATTTTTTTTTTTAATATCCATTGTACAATACATTAAATGATGTAATACTTTTTAAATAAAGAAAAATCACTCACAGGAATCATACTGCTTTAGATTTGTAATCATGAGATCATAGAAATTGGAAGCCTTATGTTAAGCAGTTTTATCTGATGTTAAGGTTGGGTCCAACTACAGTCAGTTCTGCTATAACGCGATAGTTGTGTTCTTGTAAAACATCGTGTTATAGAAATTCGCGCAATAGAAATAACAGGGCTTATGGAGAAAATAGGGTTAGGTGCAGATTACTCGAAAGCGAAAAAAAATTTAGTAGTTTGTGCTACCACAGTCTAAATAAATGTTACATTCATAGCTAATAATGAAATCATACAGTAAATGTAACACTTTACCTTGAAAAAATATGAAAATAACTTGATGGGGGGATAAGGGTGATTTTGAGGTTAATAACATCGAGCTTCTCTTCAAGTGTTATAGCCTTTCTTTTACGATCATCACCGGGAATGCGATCACCAGAACGCTTCTTGGAGATATTCTTCTTTACCATATTCACAGTTAATACCCAAAAATTGGAGAAATAATAAGCAAAAATTGCGTTGCAGCAAACAAGCGTTCGCGTTTTACAAATATTGTTCTTCCATTCGTAAATCGCGTTAGAGCCAATTCGAGTTGTCAAAACACGCGTTATAGCAGAACTCACTGTACAGTCATCTGCACTGCCTACTTTTTTACTAACTCCTTCCACACATTGTATAATTTAATTTTTCTTGTATTGTATACAGAAATGCCTTGCTATTTTAACACCCCTATTCGATATTCGTAAATCAAACCTCTTATTCACAAGGAAAAATTGCGATACCCTACAGTAATATTCCAAACCATGCCAACTAGCCACAGCTCTCATATTCTGCATGAGGTACCACTCGGTTTAGATGTTAATCAAATTCAATAGGACTGTATTTGTAGTTATTTTACTGTATAATATGGAGTGCATCTTTATCTCAAAAAATTTGTGGGCAGTATTGTATGTGTGTGAAGTGAATGTATGTGTGGACTAGGCATTTCACCAAGTTACAATATCCTTGTAGTAACATTCCTCTAGCTCTCCCCCTACCAGGCCAAGCTGTGTTATTATAAACTTTAAACCCTTATTTTCAAGAAGATAGATGTGTGTGTGTGTGTGTTATTATTATTTTTTTTTTTAAGGTAACATGTGAAGAAAAAAATGATGAAATGATTACTGTATCATAAGGTTGAAAACAAAAGATATAAACATTTCTTAAGTGCACAATAGTTAACACTCGGATCATGGGAGGAGGGGGAGGCAGTGTTGGGGATCTCAGTTGCTAAAGTCTCCTATGTCCCACATGCAGTGAAACTATTGCCCACTGGCAATGCAGTATTTTTTGTTTTATTTTACTTATTCCTCATATTTACTGGTACAATACTATGACCCTGATGAGACTCATCCTCGGCTGCCCTATGACCACCAGAATAGAAGTCATGCAGCGCGAACTAATCCTGCTTCCCGTCTGCGATCGAATTACTGCTCTCAATGCCATCCTTGGTGTTAAACTTCTTCGCAGTGAGCAACCGACTCCCCTGTCGCGCTCACTGAACTCACATCTTAGCACCCTCCTGCGCCGGCCTGTCCCCATTACTTTCCCCCCTCCCTCTCAACTCTGGCCCGTCCACACTGCTGCTGACATCCTGTGTTATCACCTCTACACCCCCTCGACCTCTCTCCCTCCCGAGTACACTCATCCGCCTCTACCGCCGTGGACCTTCCCGTGTGTTGATGTTGTCGTCCACACCTTCCCTGGTCGTAAATCCACCCAACTGAGGTATATGCTCAAACTTAACTGCCTTGAACAGATTAATGATGTCGCTTCCTCTCTAAAGACCTCCCACCCTCCTATCCTCGTCTACTGTGATGGGTCTGTTACCACGCTGGGCAGCGCTGGGGCAGCTGTGTGGATTCCTGAGCGCCAGGCCTGCAGGAAAATCAGGGTCCACGACTGGGCCTCCTCCACTGATGCTGAAAGCATAGCCATCCTCGCGGGCATTCATGAGGGGGCGACCTATGCTCGCACTGAACGCCGGAACCTCCTTATAATCAGTGACAGCACTTCTGCGCTAGCGAGGCTCAAATTACCCTCCCCCTCCTCCCCTGCCGCCCAACACACCCTAGCCGCCGTTGCCGGGCTAGAACAAACTGATGACATCCGTGTCAAGTTTCTTTGGATCCCGTCACATATAGGAATAACTGCCTGTGACACTGTGGATCGGCTTGCCAAAGAAGCTACACAAGAAGAAGATACTGAAGCCACTCTCGCCCTCTCCCTGAATCATCTCAAATCTCGCATACACGCCACACAACGAGAGGCATTCAACGAAAATTGGACACACCTGAAACAACGGGGTAGCGTCACACTATACCACTATACGCTGTAACCGGTGACGACAACCGCCACTACAAAGAATATCAATCCCTGACTCGATCTCAACAGCTTATATACATGAGACTGCGCCTAGGGTACAGGTACCTATGGAAGTACATTGGCAACCCTGAGCCTCACCGCACTGTTTGTAAACTTTGTGGCCAACCTGACTCTCACACCCTCTCTCACCACATCCTCACTTGCCCTATGACCTCCTCCTATAGGTCCCCAGCTGTTACCAACACCTCTTCCCTCCCAGACCATATATCCCTCCTCCTAGTCACAGGCCTGGCATTTGACATTATTAGGGACCTGCCACTCTTTGCCATAAACAGATAAAATGTACCGGGAACTTTCCCCCCACACACTCATCATTCCCTCACTTTATGTAACTTGACAGAACCTATGACCCTTCAGGCTTTTACGCCCTTAATGTACGAGTCATAAAGGCAAGTATGAACTTTTCATACTTCCCTGTTGGGCGCTGTAAACGCTTCTGTGCTTCACCTTGCACAGGATATAAGGGGGTGCCCAATAAACTAGCCCCCTCGGGGGCAAATCTGAATCTGAAATCTACTATGACCCTGGTCCCTAATAACCTCAGATAATGACTTTTAGGAATACATCCTTTGCAATAACTGGGGTATTCCTGTATCTTGTTTGCCTTAGCTAGTTGTTACTGAATGCTGATGACTTCATGCAGATAGAGATTACTGAGGGGATAAAAGGATGTCTGCAGTACAAGTAATTAACCCTTAGGCCCAACCAGCGCGCCCCGGGTGACGTTCCAGAAGACACGCCTTTTCCTGCCACCGTTTAAATGCCCAGCGTGGGTTATCAGGTTCCCGTGTGACTATTTGCCTGTCACGCCACACCTCAGCCACAGGGAAGCTTCCTAAACGGAATTACCTACCGTACCTTTGTTGGTTTAATTTTCATTGTTTGTCTATTTTATCATGTTGTATCAAAGTAATATTGCTAAAAGTATGGTACAGTGGTTGTATTGTAGTGTAGTATTACTGGAAAATAATGCCATGATTATGTTATAAATGTATTTATTTGTGGAATTATTATTATTTTATGTATTACTTGCTATACCAAAACACAAAGACAGCCGAAGATCTGGCGACAAACTGCTGTGTGTCGTCAAGCGCTTTTTATGAAAATAATGCCAAAAAATAAATTCTAAATGAATTATTTATCGGAAATAAGTATTATGATCAGTAAATGTATGCATTATTGGCCACTTCGGACACAAAGACAAGCTAAAACTAGCCCTCTTATCTCCCCCCTCTTACATGTGGTCAGAGGGAAGCTGCTTGGTAAATAACTTCTTTTGTTTGTCTATTTTACCATGTTGTTTCAAAGTAATATTACTAAAAGTTGTGTGTGTGTGTCTCGCTCAGAACTTCTTATTAAGAATAATGCAAATAAAATAAAGTCTAAATGAATTATTTATAGGAAATAAGTATTATGATCAGTAAATAAATGCATTATTGGCCAACTCGGACACAAAGACAAGCGGGAAAATGATCCCTAAGTGCGTAGTGACAGCAAGCGCTCGATGTAAAAAAAACAACTTTCCCCTTATTTGTCTCGCCACTGAGGCGCCACAGAAGAATATAGAGTGACAATGTATAGTTTTTCTTGCATCTTTTTTTATTGTTTTATCATTTATAAAGGTTAAAAATTATTCTTTGGAAAAATTGATTTTTCTCGTTTTACTCCGTGTTGGGGGTATGGCCGGCAGCACCCTAGCCGGGGGCATAAGGGTTAAATAATGTTCAGTGAATGTGGGCACATGAGAGGTGACAGACTGTAGGAGGTTGCTTATTTTTAAATGTCCAGTACAGGTATCCTTCATTTAACGATTGGGATACACTCCCGAAAAACAGTGTGTTAAGAGAAATGATCACTATAAGAGGAATAATGAGAAATAATATCCTAAACGAGGGATAATGAGGAAAAATATCTGTGATGGCATGTAATTGCATAGCACTCAGAGCTAGTGAGGCTGAGATGTGAGCTTTGTTATTGTTCACCCAATATCAGTCCTCCCAGCCTGAGTAAGATACTGGAAAAGCTAGCATGTAATAGACTAAATTCCTTCTGCAATGCCAATAACATCTTTACAGACTCCCAGTTTGGATTTAAAGCTAGAAGGTCGACTGAGAGTGCTCTGCTATCCTTTACTAATGACATCTTAAATTCCTTTGATGACAGTCAGTTCACAGTCGGTATATTCTTGGACCTCTCTAAAGCCTTCGATACTGTCGACCATACCATCCACCCCTCAAAACTTGAACATTACGGCATTAGGGGCCTGTCCTACAATTGGTTTACCTCATATCTGTTCAACAGGATGCAGTATGTCTGCTATAATTATCACCAATCTGACTCCTCGCCAATCTTGTATGGAGTCCCCCAAGGTTCAATTCTCGGTCCAGTACTGTTTTTGTTGTACATAAACGACATAGTCCACACCAGCTCACTCATAAAATACAACTTATTTGCAGACGATAGTAATCTCTATGCCAGCAACTTAGACCTCCATT